AGGTCTGACTGCCTCATCAAGACCATCCGCTCCGAAGGCTACTTCGGCATGTACCGCGGTGAGGCTCTGGCTGGGGCGGCGGGCGGGGGGAGGGAGGCGGGCAGGCAGCAGGCCTGGGCTGTGTGCCTGTGGACTGTCCCATGGGGGCCGCTGTCCCTGCACGAGGCCCATCAGCTGGCCCTGGTGCTGGTGTCCGGGGAGGTGGATGACAGGGTGGGATCTGGACAGTGGCCGTTCTCAGCCCCCACCCTCCTGCCACCCCCACCCCCACTCACCCCCAGCACCTGGCATGGCAGGACGCGTATTTCTACCACTGGCTACAGCCTCCTTCCTGCCACCTTTGAAAAGAAAATATTTTTTTATTGATTTCAAAGAGGAAGGGAGAGAGAGACATCAGTGATGAGAGAGAGTCATGGATCGGCTGCCTCCTGCACGCTCCACACTGGGGACTGAGCCTGCATCCTGGGCCTGGTCCCCGACCAGAATCAAACTGTGATGCTCAACCACTGAGCCACGCCCGCTGGGCATCCCCTGCCTTCTGAGAGCGGCAGGCCCTGTCTGTGCTGGGAAATGGGGGGGGGGGGGGGGGAGAGCAGTCCTGCAAAGCAGCTTAGACAATCCCCAAGCCTGGATTTCCCCAGGCTGTGCGGCCCTGAGCCCTGAGCCCTGAGCCCTGAGCCCTGACTGCAGGAGGGCTTGCCACTGCCCCGGCTCCAGCCCATGGGCTAGACCAGGGGTGGGCAAACTTTTTGACTCGAGGGCCACAATGGGTTCTTAAACTGGACCGGAGGCCGGAACAAAAGCATGGATGGAGTGTTTGTGTGAACTAATATAAATTCAAAGTAAACATTACATAAAAGGGTACGGTCTTTTTTTTTTTTAGATTTATTCATTTCAAACGGGCCGCGGGCCGTAGTTTGCCCACGGCTGGGCTAGACTCAGTCTCGTCCATTGTGGGCCCTCTCACCCAGGGCCCTCGCCAGCGGGAGCCCCTCTGCCCCCCGGGAGGTGTTCCTCAGGGCTCAGGGCACCCACCTGGCTGGAACGGGAGGGTCATTTGGGGGAGAGCGAGCAGAGTGCCTGGAGGAGGCAGCACTGCCCTGTCCCTGCCTGGTCCCCGCCCTGCCTGGCACCAATGTGGGTGAGAGGGCAGGAGGCGGCGGCCAAGGATTGACTGGGGTAGGGCTCTGCCAACTGGGAAGCAAGTGCTGGCTGAGAGCCTCCCCAACATGATGTGCCCACAGGAGCCGCCGTGAACTTGACCCTTGTCACCCCCGAGAAGGCCATTAAGCTGGCAGCCAACGACTTCTTCCGACATCACCTCTCCAAGGACGGGTGAGGGGGGGCCGTGCCTCCAGGCCAAGGACAGGCTTCCTCCTGCTGCCCCTCACCTTGGCCGTGCAGGGCCTCCTCTCCTCTTGTGTCCCGTCCTCCGCGTCCTTCCCCCCCCCCCCCCCCGCCCCTGCCCTGCACTGGGAGGAGTGAGGCAGGCTCTGAGTCTGCTGCTCCAGCCCCCGTGGTCCTTGGCCCTGGGCCACGGCCTGCTCCCCCATAGGCTGGGATTTGTGGGCGCTGACCAGCTTTCCTCTGTCTCCAGAGGGCGGGCTGAAAGGGTAACCCCTTGGGGTACTTGAGACCCCCCAGCTTCTCCATCTGTCTTTGCGTGAGAAGGACCCTGCCTCCCTTCCCAGTTCCTGCCGCGGGGCCATCTGTTTGCCGGGCTCGGTGCCCGCGCTGCAGGGCCTGGAGGGGTGTCTGAGGCTGAGGGGCACTGTGCCCCCACAGGGCTGCGTCTGCCTCTACTGCTCCCACCCCCCTTCCTCCCCTTCACACCCAGGCGCTGGGGCGGCCGCCTGGGTAGCAGGGCCTCCGACTCTGTCCGTGACCCCCCCCCTCCTCCCTGCAGGCAGAAGCTGACCCTGCTGCGGGAGATGCTGGCCGGCTGTGGGGCCGGCACCTGCCAGGTCATCGTGACCACCCCCATGGAGATGCTCAAGATCCAGCTCCAGGACGCCGGCCGCATTGGTGAGTGTGGCCGGGGGCCGGGCACCCAGCCCCGGGGTGGGGCAGCCGCCTGGCCCGGTCCCTGCCCTCACCTTGAGGGAGAGCCAGCCTGCCCTGTCCGCTTTCTCCCCAGCCGCCCAGAAGAAGATTCTGGCTGCCCAGGCCCAGCTGTCCACACAAGGGGGCACTCAGCCCGCAGTGGAGGCTCCCGCTGCCCCCCGGCCCACGGCCACCCAGCTCACCCGTGACCTGCTCCAGAGCCGTGGCATTGCCGGCCTCTACAAAGGACTGGGGGCCACGCTGCTCAGGTGGGAAGGGCGGGAAGGGCGGGAGGCGGGAGGCGGGAGGAGGGAGGCCTGCCCACCCTGAACCTCTAGTCACCACCACCCCCCCTGCAGGGACGTCCCCTTCTCCATCGTCTACTTCCCCCTCTTCGCCAACCTGAACCAGCTGGGCCAGTCCGCGTCCGAGGAGAAGTCCCCCTTCTACGTGTCCTTCCTGGCGGGCTGTGTGGCTGGGAGCACGGCCGCTGTGGCTGTCAACCCTTGTGATGGTCAGTAGGGGGCCCTGGGCCTCCCTCCGGCTGGGGGTAGGGGTGGGGTGGGGGTGGGTGAGCAGCCCCCTGACCTGGGCCTCCCTGCAGTGGTGAAGACGCGCCTGCAGTCGCTCCAGCGTGGGGTCAATGAAGACACCTATTCCGGGTTCCTGGACTGCGCCAGGTGGGTGAGGCCCCTTGGCGGCGGGGTGCAGGGAGGCTAACCACGGCTCTGACCCCCCCCTTCTCCACAGGAAGATCTTGCGGAATGAGGGTCCCTCCGCCTTCCTGAAGGGGGCCTACTGCCGCGCCCTGGTCATCGCCCCACTGTTTGGCATTGCCCAGGTGGTCTACTTCCTGGGCATCGGGGAGACCCTGCTGGGGCTGCTGCAGAACCCCCAGCCCTGAGTCTGGGCCCCCCCACCTGCAGGACTAGAGTGGGCCTGGGGCTGGGCGGCCTGCCCAGGACCAAGCAGGGGAACGTCTCTCCGCCCGTCCCCGTGTGGATGGGGGGAGAGGGAGGGGTGCAGGGTCCACACACATGGACCTGAGGGGTCCTGCCTGCACAGCCACGGGGATCAATGTGTTATTTATGTAGAAATCACAGAAATCTTTACATTCCCGGAGCCAGCCCTGCCCCAGCTCCACCCTGGCCTGGGCACCCCCGGGACAGAGCTGGTCTCTGAGCCGGGGGCTCCCAGGTGAGGGCTGGGCAGGGTGGACCCTCCGCTCCAGGCTACCGGCTTGTCCCCAAAGGGGAGGCTGCACAAACCTATTTATTAACTTGCTGAGCACAAGTGGCTCTGTCCAGACCTCCGTCCGTCCATCGGTCCAGCCTCCCCACTGCTGCTCTCACCTCGGCCAGCCTCGCAGGAGAATTGGGGTCTCCTGCCCCCCACATTGAGCCAGGAATCCCAGGCAGGCAGGGGGGTCCACACTGAGTCTTGACTCCCAGGGAAACCCACCCTCAACTGTGGGACCCAACAATCCTCCTGGTGGGCCCCTCTGCCCCACCCCAGACGGGGGGCCCAGAGCGTGTGAGAGGTCTGTGTGCATATGGGAGAGCTGCTGCCCTTCCCACGTGGCCAGGCAGTGTGTGCGTGCGTGTGTGTGTGTGTGTGTGTGTGTGTGTGCTGTGTAAACCTGTGCCCCGCTGACCCTGTCCAGAAGTTGTTTCTCCAGCCCAGCCCCTCTTGCTGCACCTGCAGCTGACTGCTCTTCTGAGACCTGCACCCGGGTCTGACCGTGGCCAGTGGAAAGGGCAAGCATGACCAGTATGGAGCCAGGGGCGCCTGCTCTGTGTGCAGGGGTGGCGGCCGGAGCTGCCCTCCAGCCACCCTGCTCTCTGGGCCCCTGCAGCCCCACCCGCCCGCTGTCCAGACCCCTCCCCATTGTGAACTGAGGCAGGCGCCCGCCCTGCCACCCCTGCCGGGTGATCGTGTTGGTGATTGGTCCTGACGTGCCGGTGCTGTGTCCCCCACCACCCAGGCCCCCTCTGAGGAGGCCCCTTCCCAGCGACACTACCTGGGGCCGAGGCCTGGCCCCCAGTCTGCGGTTGTGCCCATCATCTGTTGTACCTTGGAAGCTGCTGCTGCTGCTTACAGATTTATATTTTTTTTCTTTTGAGGAGTTTTAAGAAGTGACTTTTTGTGTCTTGTCATGTAAGAAGATAAATAAATATTCTAAGTAGATGCCTCCTCTCTGAGACTCTGTTAGGGGCTGGGGGGGAGCCCCTCTCATAACCAGCTTCCCCTGCAGGCCTGGGTCCCCCTGCCCCCTCGCTGATGGGCACATTGGCCCGACTCCTGCGCTGTCTGGGCTGGGGGTGCGGGAAGGCCAGCCTGACCCTAACCCGCTCTTGGGGTTAAAAACGGAGCCAGGCCAGGCTGGTGTCGCTCAGTGGTTGAGCGTCCACCGATGAGTCACGGTTGGATGGGCTGGGGCACGTGTTACGGGTTGGGTCCCCAGTGTGGGGCGCGCAGGAGGCAGCCAATAATAATTCTCTCATCGTCGTTGTTTCTATCTCCCTCCCTCCTTCTCTGAAATCAATAAAAATACATTTGGGGAAAAACGGAGCCGGGGTGGGGCCCAGAGCGCCCAGTGGTCGGGGCGCCCGCCGCAGTAAGGCAGGGGGCGGAGCCTGAGCTGATGAGGCCCCGCCCCCTCATGCGCAGGAGCACTGCATTGTGGGAAACTCCTGGTCCTCAGCCGCAGCTGCTGCTCCAGCCGCTGAGGCCCCGCGCAGAGCACCCAGCGCCGAGGCGGGAGCGCCGGGAGCAGCGGTGTAAGGTGGCGGGGGCTCCGGGGCGCAGGGCCGGGCGGGATGGGGGCGCTCGGCTTGAGGCGGTCCCCTGCCTTGAAGGTCACTCTCCCGGGCACAGGAGCCCCGGGGAGGGGGAGGGGGAAGGGGAGGGGCAGCAGGTGACGTCAGCGTGAGCTCAAAATAAGCGAGGGCCGTGGGGGAAGCAGACCACCCGCCCGTCGCAAACTTGACTCCCAGCAGCTGGGTGCGCCTCCAGATCGGCGGGGGCGGGTGGGGTGCTGGCTCCTGGGAAGTGGAGCAGCAGCGGGGCCTCTCCCTGGGACACCCCCATCAGGCTGTGACCTTCAGGCGACCTTCCATGTGGCCTGGGTGAGGAACCTGGGCTGCCATGGCCCCCCGCCCGGGGTGGGGGCGGGCGTTCTCATGCTCCCAGGGGCGAGGCGGACAGGCAGGGCCGAGGTCTGCAGGGAGGGACGGCTCGGCTCAGGGCCAGGCGCCCAGCCCCTTCAGCCTCCCTGTGCACTGAGGATGGGGCCAGCCTTTCTCCCAGCCCAGACCCCCTCCTCCGCTGGCCCCTCGCTGAGGCTGACTGCCAGGTGTGTGCCCGCTGGGCACACCCGGATCCCCTCTGCCCCCCCCCCCCCAGGCAGGTGCAGCCTGTGGCTGGGGAAGGGCACCCTGCCCTTGAGCTCAGCAGGTGAGGCCGGTGCTGGGTGCTGGGTGCTGGGTGGGCGCAGCGCAGGCGGCCTGTCACTCCCCTCCCGGCTTCTCTGGCCTCCGGGCTTCTCCGGCCTCCGGGCGTCACCGCAGGGTTTTTGCATCAGGTCCTGGTGGCCGGGGGCCACTCCCACCCTGCCCTGCCCCCTCTGGACCCAGTCCCTCTAAGAAGGGTACATGGTCGGTGCTGCCCAACCCCCCCCCCGGCTGCTGCCCACCTCCCCTGGCCACATACCCTCTGGGCTGGTGGCTCTCGCTCCCCTGCCAGGGCCTCCCTGCCCTGGGCCAGCGTCATGGATGCAGCTGGAGTGTAGGGAAGACCGTTTTACAGACAAGGAAACAGCAACTCTGGCTGGGCCTGTGTGGGGGGAGGGTTTCTCTGGGTGTGGCCAGGGACAGGTGGAGGCTGGGCCCTGGCAGAGGAGGATTCTGAGCTGGGGCTTTTGGGGGGTCCAGGGGATTGAGCGGTGTCTCCATGGGGACAAGGCGGTGGGGACTGGACAGGACGGGGCGTCCTTGTGTCTCCCTCCAGGCCCACGTGATGCCCAGGGGTGAGCTGTCCTGAGCCGCTGTGGTCCAGCCGCCTGCCTGTCCGCACCCCCACACCGCGTCATGGAGTCCAGAGGGAAGGCGGCCAGCAGCCCCAAGCCCGATGCCAAGGCGCCCCAGGCCGGTGCGGAGGTCAGGGGCCCCCCGGCTGCGGACGGGAAAGGCCCCTCGGCCAAGCCTGGGAAGAAGGAAGCCCAAGGGGAGAAGCAGGAGCCGCCGGTGGCCCCTGCCCCGCCGCCTGCCAAGAAGACACCGGCCAAGGCGGACCCTGCCCTTCTCAACAACCACAGCAACCTGAAGCCGGCCCCCGCGGCCCCCGCGGCCCCCAGCGCAGCCCCCGAGCCCAAGGGCCCAGGCGACGGGGCCGAGGAGGACCAGGTCCCCAGTGGGGGCCCGGGAGGCCGAGGCCCCTGCCCCTTCGAGAACTTGACCCCCCTGCTGCTGGCTGGGGGGGCGGCTATGGCAGCCGTAGCCCTGATTCTTGGCGTGGTCTTCCTGGCTCGGAAAAAATGACGGCTGCTGCCCAGGTTGGGGACCAGCCACCCCTGTACAGACCGTGGGATGTGCATGCAAATCCTCATAGCTGTCTACCCATAATCCATAGGCAATAGAGATACAAGCGCCCCAGACACCGAGGGAGAGAGACAGGCTGCCCGGGGCAGTGGGGCCACGCCCCCTTAGCTGGTCCCTAGCGTGTCCCCCTCCCCCTCCCCCAGGCAGGGATCGGCTCCTGGGTCCTGAGCAGCACAGGGTGGAGCTGTGGCCTCGGGCAGAGGGCTCAGACCGGGGCAGTGGGTGGGGTGGACCCTGAGCCGGCCAGCTTGTCCCGAGGGGCCCCAGTGGTCCAGGGGCTTCTGGCCGCTTCCTGACAAGCCCCAGGCAGGAGGGAGGCCTGAGGCAGACCGGTCCTGGCTGGGCTCTGACCTGGGCCCGGCCACATGGGGACATTAAAGGTGTGGCTGTTTCACCTTCCCCTCTTCTGCTCTTTGCTTGCAGCCGGCGGGTGGGGGTCTGGCGGGCTGAGCCACTCCAGGGGCTGACCCAAGGCTTCGTGCCACCTCTGCCTGCTGGCCACGCCCGAGCTGGGGAGACTGTGCAAGGCCCGTCCAGAGGGGCCACCTCACTTCCTGCCCTGAGCCCTCTCCCCATCCCGTGGCAATTGTCCCGCGGAGGGGGGGCAGCTGGGGGCAGGAAGGGAGGGGGTATCAAGGACCTGCCCCCAGCTGTGTCTGCCCCCAAAGGTGCCCCTGGAGAGGGCCCCGCCTGCCTTACCCAGCGTCCTTTGAGTCGAACAAGCGTATAAATGCAATAACACAGGTAGAGTAGGACCACTTGGTGGGTACCATCACCATGTCCATTGCCCCACTGTGCCTGCAGGGGGACCGTGCTGGGCAGCCCCTCTTTAGCCCACGTAGTCCCGGCGTGGCCCCCAGCACGGTGGCAGCGGGCATCGTGGGACCCTGACGTGCCCTTCCCTGGCCAGCTGGCCGCTGGAACGCTAGACCTGAGTGGAGGCCGAGTCTACAATAAACTGTTGTCTCTCGGCTGGGCTGGCGTCCTCACCTGCATGAGTCTGGGAGAGTCGGGGTCCCCCGCCCCGTCAGAGAAAGGGTCCCCCCCACAACACCTGGCTTTCCAGAGAAGGGTCCCCCCAGCCTGCCACTGCCACCGCCATGCCCTTGATCCTGGTTGGCTCCGCTCACAGCCGTTCCGGGGCCGGCCCCACAGCCAGGCCTTCCTGCAGCCCGGGCCACACTGCGCAGGGCGGGACGGGGACTTGGGGTGGGGAAGGGGGACCTGTTCCTCGGGTTGGCCTCCAGCCAGGAGGGCCCTTTCTCTGCACCCCCTCTCTGCAGTGAGCTCCCCATCCCCGGGAGGGCACAGGGGAGACTATGGGGTGGGGGTACTCTTCTCTCTTCACCTCCCACCCACAGCTCCCGGTGCCCACCTGGCCAGGCCGGCCCTGGACCCCAGCTGCAGGCGGCTGGCTGGCTGGGCAGGGGCTGGGGAGCAAGACCCACAGGGCCCGAGAAGGAATGCTATGGGCCTGGCCTTCTCCGAGAGGCTGTACGGGGCACACCTTCCCCTCTGGTCCTCCCTGTGCCCACCTCCCCGAGTGGCAGACCCTGGCGAGCACCCGATCTCAGGCTCAGACACGTTCCTTGCGAGCATCCAAACAGACCAGACACCCGGCCCAGGCCACCCCATGTGCAGCTCCTGCTGACCGCGTTGGGCTGCCCCGCTCCTGCTAACCCAGACTTCGCCCGACATGCCCATCCCCCAGGTTCCTGCCCCCCACCCCCCACCCCCGGCACCAGGGGACACTCGGCCAGGCCCCAAGTCCTTGCCCGCCGCCTGCAGGCCAGCCCCCCCTCCCATTACCTATTCTGTGACTGGAACTGTTAAATCAGCGGTTCTCAACCTGTGGGTCGCGACCCCTTTGGCGGTCGAACGACCCTTTCACAGGGGTCGCCTAAGACCATCCTGCATGTCAGATATTTACATTACAATTCATAACAGTAGCAACATTACAGTTATGAAGTAGCCACGAAAATAATGTTATGGTTGGGTCACAACATGAGGAACTGTATTTAAAGGGCCAGAAGGTTGAGAACCACTGTGTTAAAGCAAACAACCAACTAACCCTCCTGACATTTGAGGAGGAGGGGGCGGGGGGCAGGCTCTGGTGTCCTGTCTGGTGGGTCCTTTGGAGGCGGTGACACCCCCCACGTGGAGCCTCCTTCTGTGATGGGTTCCCTGTGAGGGCGTTGAAGTTGTTTCCAATTTTTTGCGACTGTAGACAGAGCAGCAACGGAAATCCTTGGGATGCCCTTTGTGCCTGGCGTCTCAGCGGTGCTTATACTGTGGTTTTTATTTTTTTAAAATATATTTTATTGATTTTTTTACTGAGAGGAAGGGAGAGGGATAGAGAGTTAGAAACATCCATGAGAGAGAAACATCGATCAGCTGCCTCCTGCACACTCCCCCACTGGGGATGTGCCCGCAACCCAGGTACATGCCCCTGACTGGAATCGAACCTGGGACCCTTCAGTCCGCAGGCCGACGCTCTATCCACTGAGCCAAACCGGTTAGGGCTCTCTCTCTCTCTCTCTTAAAATGTATTTGTGTTGATGTCAGAGAGGCAGGGAGAGGGAGGGAGAGAAACGTCAACGATGAGAGAGAAGCATGGATCGGCTGCCTCCTGCACGCCCTGCACTGGGCACCCAGCCTGCAGCCCAGGCAGGTGCCCCGACCGGGGATCGAACCCTGATCTCAGGGTTCACAGGTCGACGCTCAGCCACCGGGCCACGCCGGCTGGGCTGCAGGACTCTCTTCATTTTACCAAACAGACCCTCTCCCCCCAAACACCCCGCCCCCGCCCCCACCACGCACGGTCCTACTTTCAGCCTCTGTGGCTCTGACCCCTCAGGACCTCACGTGGGGCCACACGGACTCGCCCTGCGTGACGGCCTCGTTGCACACACGTCAGGGTCTCTCCGTCGCAGCAGGTGCGGGTTCGCTCCCTTTTAAGGCTGCGCAGCCCCCGTCGTGGGGGTGGCCGCACTGTGTCCACCCTCCGTCCACGGACACTCGGGCTGCCCCGCCTTCCCACCGCCGTGACTGCTGCTGTGGCCACGGCGCGTGTCTGCTCAAGACCCTGCTCCACGCGTCACGCCTGCCGGTGGGACTGGGTGACACAGCGTGTGCCTGACGCTGCTGCCCAGGTTCAGCCACGCGGGCGCCGCTGCCCTCGCCCTGGCGACACCGCGGGGTGAAGCCCTTGGCTCCTGCCGGGCGCAGGGGCAGCCGCGCTCTCCGCTCTCCGGTCTCTCCCTCGCGCCGCCTGACACGCCCCTTTCACCTGTTCCGGGCCGTTTGGGTTTTGCCGTGATTGTGCATTTGCCTTGGGTGGAACGGCCTCGTCTCCCTTACTTGTTGGGCCTCTCGATGTGTATAAGCCGGTGCCGCACTGCAAACACCGCCGCTCCCTGGCCGCTCGCCGCTCGCTGTTGGGGTCCAGCCCCAGCAGGTCCAGGGGTCCCCAAAGGTGTGGACAGAGTCGGCGAAGAGGGAATGACATGCAGACAGCGTTCAGTTGATCAGCAGCCTAGCCAGGATCTCCAGCCAAGTTCTGGTCTGGATCTCCAGAGAGGTTCTGCTTAGGATCTCCAGCCAGGTTCTGTGTCCATGTTCTCTTGCTAGGTTCTCCAGCCAGGTTCTGTAGCCATGTTCCCTCGCTAGGTTCTCCAGCCAGGTTCAGTCACCAGGTTCTAGTCAGGTTCTCTTGCCAATTTCTGTAGTCATGTTCAGTCCAGGATCTTTTGCCATGTTCTCTCCAGCGAAGTTCTTCTGTCTGTAGGTTCTGTCTTCTAAGTTCTGTGTGTAGGTTCTGTCTTCTAAGTTCTGTCTTCTAAGTTCTGACTTCTTATTACATCTGTATTTATACCAGTTGATTCCAATCCTATCAATCTCTATTCCAAAGGTTAGGGCGTTTCTTATCTCCATTCCAGGGAGTAAAGATTATGTAGCTTAAGCATGACTGTTCATAGTTAAAGTGATTAATTACCCGCCTGGCACTTAGTTAAGAGGTTTTATTCCCTCCCTAACTTCAGGGGAAAATCCCTACCTGGGGAAACAACCTTTCTCAGAGAGGAGACCTTGGTTAAAACACATAGTGCCAAGAAGGTGAGCAAACATATTAAGAACAGTATGCCATATATGCCAGGCCCCTTGAAACAGCAAGCATGGACCGGCTCCCGGCAGCTCGCCGCGTCCTGAAGGCGAAACGCTGACACGGAGTTTATCAGGCGCGCGTTGGCCGCGTGAGCTCTGGAGGTTGGCGGGAGGGCGTTCTCCCTCTTCTCCTGGATTTTCTTGGCGTCTGCTCGCACTGAGGCGTGCAGCCCGCTGGACGCCAGGTTTGGTGTGTGGAGGCTGGAGATGGTGCTGTCTCCTCCATCAGCAGGTCTGAGGGTGCAGCTCAGGAAGCGGCCCTCCCGCAAGGCCACGCTGCCCTGCCCGCGCCTGCAGCGTGACATCGTGTTGTAAGGCCCTCCTGTTTGCTTCCCTTCAATCCCCACTCACTCAGCCCCTGGCGGCTCCTCCCCGCAGGTCAGAATCCCAGAGCTGAGACCTGGGCCCTTGGGGGGCTCTGACGCTCGGCTGCCTCCCGCACGCCCGCTGCTGGGGACCGAGCCCACAACCCGGCAGGTGCCCTGACCGGGAATCAAACCAGCGACCTCTTGGATCCTGGGTAAACACTCAGCCACCAAACCAAAGAACTACTTTTAGGGTCTAAACCAGCGGTTCTCAACCTGTGGGTCGCGACCTTTGGGGGTTCTCAACCTTTGGGGGTCGACCGACCCTTTCACAGGGGTCGCCTAAGACCATCGGAAAACACATATATAATTACATACTGTTTTTGTTATTAATCACTATGCTTTAATTATGTTCAATGTGTAACAATGAAAATACATCCTGCATATCAGATATTTACATGACGATTCATAACAGTAGCAACATGACAGTGATGAAGTAGCAACGAAGATAATTTTATGGTTGGGGGGCACCACAACATGAGGAACTGTACTAAAGGGTCGCGGCATTGGGAAGGTTGAGAACCACTGGTAAACGAAAGGCCAGGCACCAAAGGGCTCAGGTACACAAAGTGTACACGACCCACAGGGCCGCCTGGGGAACGGGAGCTCAGGGGCAGCAGCACCCCCAGGGCTCCAGGTGGACCCGGAGACTCCACTCTCAGCCTTTGCATTCTGAGCACCAGCACCTCAGAACCCCATCCTGCTACAGGTGGGCGCCATAGGGCACAGGTGCCTGAGCAGGGAGGAAGACGGTGCACGTGTAGGGGCCACTTTCTGTTTCCTCTCTAGCGCCCCTCCCGCCCCCAAGAGTGTGCACCTCCTTTGGGGCCCCACCCCTGAATGCATTCTTGGTGTGTCTGGGGGTAGGGCTGGCCAATGCCTTGAGAACCTCCTCCCCCAGATCTGGGCATGGGCTTAGAGACAGAAAGGACTTGAGTTAACGAGTCCCAAGGCGGGAAGAGGCCGGCTCCTGGGCTCCGGGAGCCACAGGGCTTCCCCACCACGAGCACCTGCACCTGCGGCTCAGCCAGCTCAGGGCCTGGGGCGGTGCAGGGGGGCTGGGCCAGCAGGGGGACCCCGTGGTCTCCCTCCAGCTCCTGGGTCTGACCCCCATGGACTTGCATGGTGGGCAGGGGATCCCTCCCTGGACCCAGAAGGCTCTCGACTGGCTAGGCCCCGCCCCTGGTCTGACCTCAGGCCCGCTGGTCTCCATCTACACTCCTCCACCCACCCAACACAGGCACCAGGTTCCCACCTGCCCGGCCCACGCCCTGCACTGCCAGGAGCCCAGCTCCTCCTTCTCCTCCTGCGGGAGGGTCCCGAGTGGGTGAGGCCAGGGGCTGCTGCCCGTGCCCGGGGGAGCCTGGGCTGGGCTGGGCAGAGGGCAGCGCCTGTGCTGTGGAGGCAGGGAGTGTCCGGCGGAGGGACCTTGGCCTGGACTTCAGCAGTTCCCACTTGTGACAAAGGGTTGCCTAGTCAGCAGAGGCTGGCAGGACCTGGGGCACGCTGCGGGGGGACTGAGGGCGCCCAGGGGCAGGGCCACTCCCTCTTTTTAAAAAAATACATTTTTATTGACTTCAGAGAGGAAGGGAGAGGGAGAGAGAGAAATGATGAGAGAATCATTGACCGGCTGCCTCCCGCACGCCCCTTACTGGGATCGAGCCCGCAACCCCGGCTCGTGCCCTGACGGAAAATGGAACCGAGACCTCCCGTTCATAGGTTGATGCTCAACCCCTGGGCCACCTCCTTAACCGCAGCTTGGGCCCGAGCCCGCCACGGGCCTCCCTTCTCTCCAGCCAGGCCTCAGAGAGCGCCCGCCACCCACCGAAGGCCCATGCGTCCGCCCCCGACCCTGCCTCCCGGACGGTCTGTGATAAAACTGCCTCCAATGCAACCTGGCCCGACAGCACTTGGACGTTCCTCACCTAACTCGGCACCCCCATCCCAGGAAGACACCCCACCTTCCAGGGGCTTAGCTGAACCCGAGAGTGGATGCTCTGTCTCCCCCACCATCCTGGTGGGGCCGAACCCGCCCCCGGGCCCCACCTGCAGGGGCACCTGCAGACCCTCCCGGTTAGGAACCCCTCCCTCTGCCTGGAGCCTCAAGCCTGGCCTCCTCAGAGGGGCCCCGCCGCCTCTCTCTCCCTCCTCGCCCTCACGCTGCCCCGCACCCAGGGCCGCCCGGCTCGCAGGGATCGCGAGTCCCATGCCCGATCCACAGGGAGGGACCCTCGGCCGGGCAACTCCGCCCACCCCCGGGCTGGCGGGCAGTGCCCGTTGCCTGAGAAAGCGCGAGGGCAGCGAGAGAAACAAGGCTGCGCAGGGGTCCGACCCCCGGGACTTCCTCCCGGCGCTGCCGCCAAGCTCGGGGCTCCGCGCGGGGCCTCCGGGGCCGCCCTGCTGGCTGCGCCGGGGAAGGACCCGGGACGCCGCAGAGCGGGACGGGGGGCGGGGCGGGAGGACGGCGCATGCGCCCGGCGCCGCTCCAGGCCCCGCCCCCAGGCCGCGGCGGCACGTGACCAGCGCTTCCCCGGCCGGGTGCGCGCGCAGGCAGGCAGGCTCCGCGCACGCGCAGTCCGCGCCTACTGCGGTGGAGCCGATGGCGTCCGAGCGGCTTCCGAACCGGCCCGCTTGTCTCCTCGTGGCCAGCGGCGCCGCCGAGGGTGAGGCTCGCGCGGAGGGGGTCGGGGAGAGCCGAAGGGGCAGGGGGGACCGCGCGGGAGGGCGAGGCAAACGCACCGGCTGAGGCCCGAGGCCCGCCCCCCCGAGCGGCTCAGCCACAGTCTGAACGCCTTGTGGGCGCCCAGCGGGGAGGCGTCCTGGGCCTGCTGGGGGGGGGACAGTGGGTGTCCCCGGGCGTGGGCCTGCCTGACGGGTGGGTCACGAGCCTGTGCTGTTCAGTGCGCACGCCCCGGAGGGTGCGGGTCGGAGCGGGACTGTCCGGTGGGCGGGGAGATAGATGCGCCGGGACCGGGGACCCCGGCCCCGCCAGGTGTCAGGGACCCGGAGAGGCCTGGGGCTCGTGGGTCCCGTGCTGCCCGCGCTCTCCCGCAGGGCCTGGTGCAGGGGGCCGGCAGGAAGGGATGGGCAGATTCGGGCACCTGGTGCGCTCTGAGCTCTTCCCGGGTCCTCGCCCGTGTCCCGTCACGGAGGGAAGTGGCGAGCCCACGGCCACCGGGAGCAGCTGGAGGACCAGGGTTGGGGCCGGGGCCTCTGGAGCCTGGTCTGCTCAGCTTGTGCAGCTGCTCAGTGGGCCAAGGAGGAGGACCGGGTCACGGGGTCACCGTGTGCTGAGCCCCGGGGGCCCTGAGTGGCCTGTGCCCAGAATGCGGGCGGGAGCCAGGGTCCTACCCCCCCCCCCCCATGGGAGCTCAAGGCTCGGAGGAGCCATGGGAAGGGGTTCAGCCTGGGAGACAGGTTGGAGTGGGATGAGGGGGAGGGTCGAACCAGCTTGGCTGTGCCAGGAGGGGGGGATGTTGAGAACATGGGGGGGGCACAGCTCTGAAAGGACCAATAGGCTCTGGGCACGACCAGTGGGCCCCGCCTAGTCCCCTTGGGGTCCTGGGGTGAAGGAGGTGGGGGTGGGAGAGCAAGGGTTTGAGGAACTGGGAAGGGGGTGATTTGGAAAGACTGTTTTTGCCCAATGTATGGACTTCCTGCAGTGAACATGTCCTAACTCATAAGCGTGAATAAAGATGAACATGGGTTTAGGGATTGGGTCCCAGGATTGAAACACAGGTGGAAGGATGTGGTCAAGCCCATTTAGAGGTGGTGTCCCTGGTCCCCGGGGCCGCAGCCCCTCGCAGCCAGGAGCCTTCCAGACGGCGCAGGCAGAAGGGGGCGGGAGCCCATGGGCGTTCAGGAGCTCCTGTGAGGAAAGGGCTGACTGCCCTGGCCCAGGAGGAGGGGTGGGAATGCAGCCGCCTTCCTGTGACAGGAGCCACAGGCCCACCTCCGCGGGCAGGAGCCTGGCCCTCTGCCGCCCTCCCTGGCTCAGCCTGGTGGAGTGGGGGCTCCGTCGCTCCCTCCCCGGCCTAACAGGATAAACCAGGCCCTGCTGGCTTAATGAGCGGGAACCTCACACTTGGGTGTGCCTTCTGGAAAGGCCTCTAGGGCCAGACTGGGGAGAGAGGCAGGTAGGGGGGAGCCCGGGGAGAGAGCGGGGGGCCCTGGGATGAGGTGGGGGAGGGGCTGCTCCTCGGCTGGTCCTGGGGCAGCTGTCTCGGGCAGGAGGGGCTGCCGGGCCAGCACCCACCCACGTGTCCTTGCAGGAGTGTCAGCCCAGTCCTTCCTCCATTGCTTCACGTTGGCCAGCGCTGCCTTCAACCTGCAGGTGGCCACCCCTGGGGTAAGTCCAGCTCCCTTTCTTTCTGGGGGTGGGGGGTGGGGGGAGAGAGTGCTGTCGCTGGGAAAAGGGGTGAGCCGAGGCTGCTGTGACCTGCGGGATCTGAGGGGCCAAGACCCACTGGCATTATGGGTCAGCGTCTGCACACGAGAGAAAGGAGGGCGCAGACCTTCCAGCAGGAGGGAGTGCAGCCCCCTGATGCATGGGCCCGGGTCACAGCAGTGATGTGCTAAGGGTTTCCAGGGCCACCCCTGAGGTGGGTGGGACATTGGCTGCCGCTTTATCGTGACTGAGGACCCGTGTGGGTGGGTGGGGCTGACACGGAGCTTGGGTGTGGGGCTCTGGTGAGAGGGCTGGGCTGTTGGTCCTGGGCTCCCTTCCTTTTTCTGAGCACCCTGTGAGCCAGCAGGGTGTCCTCGCTGACCGTTGGCCTCGGGGCTCTGCAGGGGAAGACCATGGACTTTGTGGACATGAGTGAGAGCAATGCACGCTGGGTGCAGGACTTCCGCCTCAAGGCCTATGCCAGCCCCGCCAAGCTCGAGTCCATTGACGGTGAGGGCCCGAGACCTTGGAGGGTCGGTGTGTGGGGTTCCAGGTGGGTTTGTGGCCCCACAGTGCTCCCTCACTCTACTCCTGGAGCCCCCAGGCTTGCTGCCAGGAGCTGTGACTGTCTATGGCCGCCCCCCTCCTGCGTCTTGGGCCCAGAGTTCCCAGCTGCCTCTGCGGGGAGATGGGGAGGCAGCAATGGTCCATGGGCTGTGGGAGCCTTGGCCGGGGTAGGGACAGGGACAGGGACAAAGGATGGTGTCTGGCGGCAGGAGCAAGAGGACTGACTGGCCTGTGGTCTCCCCAGGTGCCCGGTACCATGCCCTCCTGATTCCCAGCTGTCCCGGGGCCCTGGCCGACCTGGCCAGCAGTGGGTCTCTGGCCCGAATCCTGCAGCACTTCCACTCCGAGAGCAGTAGGTGACCCCTGGGGTGGGGGGGTGGGGGGGCTCCACAAACAGGAAGGGGAGGCAGGAAGGTGCCTGTGCTGGGGGTGGGCGCAGCAGCCGTGGATTTCAGGGTTCAGGTCTTGGGGCTGGAAATGTCAGATCACTTCAGATGTAGAGCCCCGGGATCTGGCCAGTGAGGGTCAAGTGTACTCAGCTGTCCCACACACGAGGGTGGGCACTCCCAACCCTGCCCTTTGGCCAGCACCCCTGTGGGCCCTCTTGCCTGGCCCCCTCGGGCTGGGGGCTGTGCCCTGGGCCCCTCCGCGGGGGGAGGGCAGGATGCTGGCTTTGTTCCTGGTGGGAAAGCCCCGGGTCCAGGCTGGGGCCGAGGCCAGCAGGGCGGGAGAAAGGCCGCTCTGGGACCTGGCCTGCTGCCCTGGTCTGCCTTGGGCTCAGAGGCGCATGTCTGCTCATTAGGGACCAGCCGACAAAAACCCAGGCTCCACAGTGTCCTTTGTCGGTGAGAAGGGCCTACTGTCCCCAGCACCACCCACCGGGACAGGCATCGATTGTTCCCGGCCACCTCAGCCGTGGGAACGCACTTGTGCCAGGCAGCCTCTGGGTGGCAGGCCCGGAGCCAGGGCAGGGGCCGGCAGGGTGGGGGCACTGCCTGGAGCCCTGAGAGATGGAAGGAGGGCGGGCACCTTCCCACTGCAGTCAGGAGGTGACTCAGGCAGCGGTGACAGTGGTGCCCTCAGAGGGCGAGTGGGGCCTGGAGGGTACAGGCCGTTTGCCCTGAGAGGGCCATGGGGGCAGTGAGTGCGAGTGCCACTGGGCTGGCTAATAGACCTGCTCGCCCTCTCGACGCCTCCTTGTGCTTGTTTCTCAGCCACCGGAACTTGAGGTTTGAGCCGGAAGCAGCAGCTCCCGTGTTTCCAGGGGCCGGGCAGCGGCCTCCAGGAGGTCGGCCGTGGCGGGTGGGGGTGTTGGGAGAGGGCCAGGCCCCGGCCTCCAGGACCTCAGCCCCCCTGCTGCTGCTTTCAGAGCCCATCTGCGCGGTTGGCCACGGGGTTGCCGCCCTGTGCTGCGCCACCAACGAGGACCGGTCCTGGGTGTTCCGAGGCTACAGCGTGACCGGGGTGAGTGCAGCACGGCCGGGCGCACCCCGGACGGTGGGGACGCTGGGGCCCACGGTCCCCTCTGGCCGGTGACACCACTTGTCCAGACGGCACCAGGCCTGCCGTTGTCTGTTGTCTGCTGGCATCACGGAGTCCCGTTCAGGCCGTGGGTGAGGACAGGCCCTGCCTCGCCCGACCCTCGAGCCCCGCTTTGCTTTGCTGGCTGTGGGCGTGGGAAGAGCGGGCTCGGGTTGAGCTTGCTTTGCGCCTGACCAGGAGTCAGGGCGCCCGGGGCGGCTCAGCATTCACAGGCGGCCAGGAGCGACCTGGGAAGTCCTGGGCAGATCTAGGAGGGAGGGTCCTTGTGGCGAGGACTGAGGCCTGGCTGCTGGAGGCTGCACTCAGCTGGTCTGGTCCCAGGTCCAGGTCCAGGTGAGGACCGGACAGGAGAGGAGCCTGGGCGACTCCTCAGCTAGGGCGACCCCACAGGCCACGTGGCTCAGTTCCACCTCCAGGCCTCCCACTCACTGCAGGGCTCAGCTCCCGCTGGCCTCCCATTACCTCGATGCTGGGGGAAAGCGTGTCACCCCTGGAAACCCACAGCAGGAGGGCCCCCCCGGGGTTCAGCCTTGGAGCAATGCTGTGCTCCGCCCCCTCCCCCGTGGAGGGCAGGGCCCTGCCTGGATGGGCTCTGCCTGAGCAGCGGGTGCCCTTTCCCCGCAGCCCTCCGTGTACGAGCTCGTCAGGGCCCCTGGCTTCGCCCGCCTGCCTCTCATCGTGGAGGACTTTGTGAAGGATGCAGGTGCCAGCTTCAGTGGTGAGCTGTGTGGTGCTGCAGGCGACGGTGGGGCACACTGGCCAGGCCAGCCTCCTGGGGCTGAGCACCCAGCCGACCTCAGTGGCTGGCGGCTCTGAAACCCCGCAGGCTGACCTGGAGCTCACAGCCCCGGGAGGGTGGGCCGGGCTGGGCGCTGCCCACATGGGGCGTTGTCTGAGGCCTGTGCCCTCGGGTCTCCTGCAGCCAGCGAGCCTGACGCGGTGCACGTGGTGCTGGACCGCCACCTCGTCACGGGCCAGAATGCGGGTTCCACTGTGCCCGCCGTGCAGAACCTGCTCTTCCTCTGCGGCAGCCGGTGAGGGGCGTGGGCGATGGGCGATGTGCGGGCTGCTGGGCACGCTCCCTGTGATGGCTGCTGCTGGCGCCCGAGCCTTGACCTGGTATCCGTCCTGCAGGAAGTGACGCGATCCCCGAGGAGCCAGCCTACCTGCCAGTGACGCCACCACCTCCCGAGGCCCCGGCCCCCAGAGGCAGCGGGACTCAGGCCTCCAGGACCTGAGCCTCTGACAGCGCGAGGCTGACTTCGCCCGACCAGGCCTCCGGGACTGCGGGAGGGGGGCCTCCAGGCGGCAGCCAGAGGGGTGTCGGGTCTTGGCGGGTGTGAGCCAAGGGTGTTGCACGGCGCCGGGTGGGGCTCGGGGTCCATGTGGAGCATCCACAGGGAGTTGGTACCCAGAGAATCAGCTGGGGCGTTCCAGTGCGGGGTCGTGGCCCCTCTGGTCTTCCTGGACCAGCGCTGGGTGGGTGTCTCCCTCTGCCTGTCCCTGGCAACCAGGTTGGGGAGCAGAGGCCAACCCTTTTGGCCCAGCAGTGACAGGCAGGGGTACCGGAGTTGGTACCTGTGCGGTGAGGGCTGTGGCCAGGCCAGTCTGTCCCCAGCCCTTCGGGTGTTGGCTGAGTGGGGAGGGGCCAGCTGGCTGGAGCTTGGTCAACACTTTTGACATGGGTCCCAGGTGAAAGGGAATTAATCTTGTGGTCACAGCTCCAGGCCCCCAGACTTGCCCCGATTTTAACCTTTGCCTCGTGCGTGGGTTCAGTGTGGTGGTGACCCACGTCAGGCCAGGGTGGACCTCAGGGCAGACGGCAGTGGCACCGCATCCCTGAGGTGGAAACACTGTTGACCTTTCACCTTCAAACACAGCCCAGGGCCTCCTTAGACAGCACTGCACAGGCCCGCCCTGCGGCTGCCCCAGGGTGTCAGGGTGGACATAGCAAACAGGAGCTCCCTTGGAAGGTGGCCCTGCACAGGCCTCTGCTGGGGACGCCGGGCGGCTGTCCGGACGGCTCCCTCCCAGCACAGCCCGGCCACCCTCAGGCTTCCCCGGTGCCTGGCTGGGCTGAGGCCTGTGGTTGGGGTCCCCTCTGGAGCTGCGTCTGCTGCTTCCAGCCCCTGGGAACAAGCAAGCCAGCCCCCAGGCCCGGCGCTTCCTCCTGGCCCGGACCAGCTCGCACTCCGCACTCCGGTCGGCATTTCCCCGAAGGCCACTTGGCCTGGCGTCAGCCCCATCCCCAGGTGCCACCACATGGTGACGGGTGGCTGTCTGCACAAACCCTGACAGAGCCACCTCAAGGGCACTGTCTGTGTTCCCCGTAAAACTGGCCATTCCTGGTGAGGGTTCTGACCGGCCACGTCTACTCTGCTCAGGTCGGGGTGTCCCCTGGGCCAAGGCTCTGCTCCCTGCAGCTCGGGCCGGGAGGGGTGGGAGGAGGAACCAGAAAGCCCGGGAGGGGCAGGGGTGGGTTTGGAGCCTGGCTTCCCATCCTTGTCTCTGGGATTCCCCACTCGCCCCGGACATCTGCAGCAGCGTTCTCAGGAATGAACGGACACAGACTGGCCCCGTGCATGGCATCTTGTTAAAGGGCAGCGTGATCGCCATGTGGTGGGACATTTGCCGTGAAAGAATGAAGTCCTGCCCAGCCGGCGTGGCTCAGTGGGTTCAGTTCCCGGTTGTGGGCTCAATCCCGTGTGGTGTGTGCAGGAGGCAGCCAATCCATGATTCTGATATCAGTGCCGTTTCCATCTCCCTCTCCCTTCCTCTCTGAGATCAATAAAACACACAGTGAAGTCCTGAGGACGCCCGCGTGGTGGACGGGAGGACATGCTGAGTGAAGAAACGGCCGCGTCGTCCCGTTTGCGGGAGGTCCTGACCCAGCAGCTCGGTTGTGGCGGGAATGGGGACACAGACATGCTGTTTGGGGGGATTTCTGAGCTGAGTGCTGACGGTCACACACCCCAAGTACTGAAACCGCCCTGTCAGATGTCCATGCGGACCCCAGGGCTGGGAGGCACCCAGGAGAGGGGGGTCCGGGTGGGGGCCATGCCCCTGCCACCACTGCTGGACACCCACCCAGCAGCCCCTCAGCACCCAGGATGGCTGAGCTTGTCCAGGACAGGCTGGGCACTCAGGACGGCACGGCCCCGGGGGGCCTGTCCCTGGGCCCTGAGAACTACAGCCACGGGCCCTGCTGCTTTGGAGCACGTGGGACTCAGCCTCTCGGCTTGCAGTGGCCCGTCCCGGGGTCCCCGTGGAAGGCTGTGGGGAAAGGTGGCCAGTTGGGTTCCCAAAGGGAAAGCAAGCCCAGGTTGGGGAGGGCAAGGCGGCTCCCTGCGGACCCTTGGGTGTCACCAGAGCAGTGTCTCCGCAGGTCAGTCCCTGACACGTTTCTGCTCACACCTGACAGACGGGCCAGACGGGAGACACGCCCCTTATCCTGCTCCCTGCCCCTGAACAGAGCCCTCGCCCAGCCTGGCTCCCCTCCAGGAACAGAGGCTGGTCCTTCCTCCCTCCACCCATCACCGCCCCAGGCTCTTCCCAGTACAGCACTTGGTGCCCCAAGTCCAAACAGTGCCCTAGTGTGTTCTCAGAGCAGCAGCACCTCTCCAGGCTTAGGGGCGCAGTCGGGACCTCCCAGGTTAGATGAGCCAGTGCTGCTGTGCTGAGCTGCCCCACCAGGTGGCACCACTGAGCTGCCGCCTGGTCAGGGCCTCAGTTCAGGAGCCACCAGAGGCAGCAGGTAGTGGCAGGCGCACAGCCCAGGGGCCCAGCACCGCCCTTGGCCCATCCAGGGATCTGGGCACAGGAAGAGCTCAGATGGGTCCCCACCCAGCAGCGGGCAGTGCTGCCCCCTCTCGCTGGGCCCAGGTTGTAGCTGGTGCCGAGGGGCACGAGGCGGGAGGAAGTGAAGCATGGCACAGAAAACACCTGCTTTAATGCATTAGGCAGAATTTTACACAAAACAGAAACCCATGATCCGTCCCTGCTGCAAGTAGTAAAAAATGAAAGATTCGTCGCCGGGCTTGTGTGATCGGACCCAAATCCAAAGCCCGCACTGATCCGTGGCCCAGCCTCAGGCTACTTCCCATTCTCCGCGCTGAACATCCGGTCCTACAGGGGGAGACGGAAGGGCCAGGAGAGGGCGTCGGGCTCCCTCTGTGGGTGCACACCGCCGATGGGGACCAGGCGGCACCCAGGGTCCCTAGACGTGCCAGCCCTGCCCGCTCGCCCGCACTCACCGCCAGCACCCGCTCCAGCTTCACCGCGTCGGCAGCGAACTTGCGGATGCCGTCCGAGAGCTTCTCCACGGCCATCTGGTCCTCGTTGTGCAGCCAGCGGAAGGCCTTCTCGTCCAGGTGGATCTTCTCCAGGTCGCTGGCCTGGGCTGGAACAGGCAGCAGGCCCTCCTCACCCGCCCGACCCGCCACCCCACCCCCGGCCCAGGGCCACCCTGGGCCCTCCCTGCCCTGTCCCCCACCCCTCAGGGAGCCGAGGTGCAGGCAGCCCCAGCAGGGGCTGGGCCTCACCCGCCTTGGCCGACAGCGTGGGCACCAGCTTGCTGCTGTCCTTGAGCAGCTCCCCCAGGAGCTTGGGCGAGATGGTGAGGAAGTCGCAGCCTGCCAGCGCCTTGATCTCGCCCGTGTTGCGGAAGGAGGCGCCCATGACGATGGTCTTGTAGCCAAACTTCTTGTAGTAGTTGTAGATCTTGGTGACGCTCTTCACTCCTGGAGGAATGCCCAGCGGTCACCACTGCGCCCGCCGCCCTGCCCCCCTCGCACCTGCCCGGGGCCCCCAAGGCCACTCACCAGGGTCCTCCTGGGGCTCGTAGGACTTCTTGTCCGTGTTGGCCACGTGCCAGTCGAGGATGCGCCCCACGAAGGGGGAGATGAGCGTCACGCCCGCCTCGGCGCAGGCCACGGCCTGGGCGAAGGAGAAGAGCAGCGTCATGTTGCAGTGGATGCCGTGCCGCTCCTCCAGCTCCCTGTGGGGACGCACACGACTCAGCCCGGGCTCTGGCTGCCGGGCTGCAGCTGACCCGGCTCACTGCCTCCTCAAACCCAGTTACAAACGGACAGAGGCCAGGGAGGTCCCCAGCCAGCACCTGCGCCAGCACGGGGCCCGGCCCTCACCTCAGCCAGAACGGCCTGGGGTGGACACCAGCTGTCCTCTCAGGCCACAGTGCCGCCTGCGTCTCACCTGGAGCCACGGCCTCCTGCCCTCTCACCCTTCCCAGCCTACCCTGCGGCAGCCCGTCCGTCCACCGTGACATTCTGGGGCCGAGTCCTGAGGACAGGGCAACGGCCAGGCTCTGCCATGTGGGTGGGGCCAGGGCTGTGACAGGGACCTCTGCTCAGGCCCCTCTGGCCACAAATTCCCACCTCAGGGGACAGATTAAAAGGGCTCCACCGTGTGGCCACAGGGGGGTGGTGACGAGCAGCAGTGCCATTCCTCCAACGGGCACAGGGACCGACCAGATGACTGAGTGTGTGCCCAGGAGAGAGGACACAGGGCCACAGCCACGTGTCCACGCAGGATGACACGGACACGGAAGAGGCAGCGCACACACAATGGAACATTCGACTTGAAGGGACGCAGCCCTGACGGCCACAGGGTGAGCCCTGGAAACCGGCCACGGGAGAGGCCACGTGTCAGGAGCCCACCCTGTGAGGCGTCCAGAGCAGGCAGCGGAGTGGGGAGCCATCGCCGGGCAGGGCTGCAGCGGACACCAGGCTCCCGGGCACAGCTGCCGCCCCCAAGCCTCACACCTCCGCCCCCACCAGGCATAGGAGGCTCTGCCTGTGGACTGTGAGCCCGAGGACGGCGGGCACCTGTTTCTGCGGGTCACCAAACAGGACCTGGGGACCTGGCCCGAGACACACCCGGCTCCATCAGCTGGGCCATGGCCGCCCCCTGGGGCGGGGACACTTACTTTCCAGCCTGAATTCCTTCCCAGGTGGACGACAGCTTGATGAGAATCCGGTCCTTGCTGACCCCGGCGTCCTTGTAGAGCTCGATGAGGCGCCGGGCTCGGGCCACCATGGCGTCCTTGTCGAAGGAGAGCCTGTGGGAGCCGGCGCGGTGAGGGGCGGCCTCACCTCGGGACGCGCCGGGGACGAGCGAGCAGCAGTGGCGCCCAGGCTCCGAGCCACTCAGAGCCCCGTCTCCCGATCGCCTTCCCTCCCATGACGCCAGAGCCCGGCCGGAGCAGACGGCAGGGGGCCAGGCCCGGCGGGTCTCGGACCGAGTGGCTGCTGCCCCGCCTGCCCCGCGCCCTTACCTGGCATCTACTTCCGTGGACACGCGGCCTGGA